ACGAAATAAAGTACATCTATCCTTCTTATCTTAAACATTTTTATTATAATAATTATTATTAATAACAAAGGAACTGACAGAAATTACTTCTGAATTAATATTTCAAAAAATGACAATTACGATATGGCCACCAAGCGATAATCACTTAAATGATTATCACTTATTAATCACACCCTTCTATATAGGAAAAATATACATAGAGTTGTATAATCTACATAAAGAACGTACTAATCCTGCAGCCGGATTCTGTACTATATGCATGGCCGTACCAATGTTCTAAATATTTATTTCATATTTTTTCATGGTCGTACATTTTACGAAACACCCGGTATATTAAAATTAAAAAATTAACTTAATTAATTATACTATAATACTCATAGATAATATTAATTATGGACTTGTAAATATATGTTTGAAGAATATTTATTTATTATTATTTATTTATTTAATTAAATTGACAAAATTCATTTTTATTTAATAAAAACATCTAGAATTGGTTTAAGGCTTGTGAATCTGACTAACTGTATTTGACTATAGCTGGAGGAAAATGCAATTTGGATGCTTAAAGGAGCAGCATATTCAATTTTAAGCCACAAGTAACGCATTCTATTGGCAATGTGATTGGGTCTTTTAGGATCAATTTAAGATAAATTAAGAGGCTTGGTTAGTAACACATTGCACGATGCTATCAATATATACTGACTTGCTATTAGATTATCTAAGTAAACTGTAGGGAACAATATATTTAAGAAATTTGAACAATAATAATTTTTGTTTTGTATTCTAAATATAGTTCTTAAAATACTTTTTGCTTCTTAGAGAGAATGAACGTTATGGGTTTACTTTTCAAAAGAAAAACCTATAACTGATTTAGAGATCGTCTTGATATGTCATGTTCTTTTTGACGACAATTTGAAGAAAATGCAATATTGATGCTTAAAGGAACAGGATATTCAATTTTAAACCGCAGGGTAATGCATCCTATTGACAGTACTGCGGAGACCCTTAAGGCCAATATAAGATGAATAATGGGGCTTGTACGAAAGCACTTTAGCCATTAGAGGGCATTACGTTGGTCTGTACTGGCCTCTATTAAATTATCTATAAACTGGTTTATGCTTTACTTAATTGAAGTTTCTTTTGCATAAGAATATTTCTAATAAATTATAAAGGTTTACGAGTAAGGTTTATGTAGTTTTAAAGAATTATAAAGATTTACAACTAAGGTTTATGTAGTTTTAAACTAAAAGATCTTGATATAAAAACATTCCCATAGTAAAATCCTCAGAGGTACTAAAAAAGGTACATTTACTATAGTTTATCATAATTTTTCAGGAGCTGATACATCTTTTCATGTATATAAAATTTGAATATATTATTATAATAAGAATAATAAAAATATAACTTTATTTAATACAGGAAATTAACAATAAAGTAGTCTCTTGTCTATTAAAAACTACTATTTAAAAATACGCTGGTGATATACGTAATATAAGGTAATTCACGACGCGCAACGATGATAAGATTAACTGGTGATTTGGTTTGGTTGTTTTTTTACTACTTTCCTTAACCGATAAAACAAAATTTAGCTTTCAATATGCCGAATTTATGATTTAACCAATGCTTATTCAAGATCATGTTTTTGTAATTTTTACATATATGTTTTATTTTCTTCTATTAAAGATTAGTATAGGTAATAGAATTTTTTTGGGATACAGAAGTAGTTTTAAAAATGCAATAATGTAGTGGATGTTCCATTTAAAATAAGAAAGATGCTACCACTTTTCGAATGCCGCGGTAATGCTAAAAATATTTTAAAAAAATGGAGCAGGTTCCTTTATGTAAAAATCTAAATTAAAAAAAAATCTTATCACCGGTTTTCCATAAACGTCTAACGTGCCATGGCCGTGAATCACCCTGTATGTTGATATATACTTTTAAATTTGTACAGTAAAACTTCTCTATTGAAACTAAAAGGATTTCGGATTTCCATTGTTTTTGTATATTTTTTTATCAATACAACGTTTCGGTTTGTATAGTCCAGAATATATGGACAAGGGAAGAAATCATACGTAAAACTTCTGACACATTATCATAATTTTCAGCTAATTCAACCATTTCCAATTATGGTGTAGCCTCCATTACATACTACCTTTGTAGTTGGGCCCATTGTTGTCTATTGTTGGCTATGCGAGCCCAAGTTATCCCTGCTAATTTTCTATTACCATGGTCCCATCTCAGGTTCGGTCTTCTTCTAGGTCTCTTAATTCCTCGTGGGTAGCATTCTGTAATTTTTGTGATCCAACTGTTATCCATTCTTCTTGCCAGGTGTCCTGCACATCGCCATTTGAGGGATTTGCCTCATTGGATGACAAATATTTCGCATATGAACAAAGAAATAAGGGGTTTTGTGGTAAAGTCATACCAGTGACCAGGTACTAAATAAAAACAATGTAAATGAACTTAAGAAAAACAATTGGCTCTAGCCGAACTGAAAAGTAACTCAGAGAGAAGTTGAATACAAGCATAAATGTTTATAAACGATGTAATGGAAATAAAAAAGAATTGAAAACAACTTAAAGTTAAGTAAAATAGAGGATGACAGTATTTGTGTTGAAAATGGAAGCGATACTGTAAAATTCTTATCTCAAAGTATTCACGGTGTCGAAAAATACGATACTATGTCTCTACCCAAGATATTTTGCTTCTAAAAGAACTAAAATAGATGACAACAAAATCGACAAGTATTCAGCTAAAAATAAATTATTTAAAAAAACTTTTGTATTAAATGTTAATATTACATTGTTTTTCATTTTTATGTAAGTATTAATTAAAGTACATAATTTACCTTATTTTACTTTATATGGATGTTGTATCACATATATTGTAAGTAGGTAGCGTCACGAAGTGTTATTTTAAAATGTTTAATCTCACATATACATACTCTAATAAGGGCTGGCATACATAAGGGCTGGCAAAGGTTAGTCTTGGGTCGAGATTTCCATATGTAAGAAGAGTACAATTTGTTTATAATGTACTGAACAAAGAGAGAAGAGTAAACACGTTGCCAAACGTTTGAAATAAACCGAGAAACTGTGCGCATTGTTCAACGACGTGGAAGGGGATATAGCAGATTTGTCGCAGTAGACCGGTCGACCCAATCAGTAATCATGAAAGGTGTACATCATGCGTTCAGCTTCGCGATTTAATTACGTCTCGTGATGCTTTATTTGTTTATTTATTAACGAGTCGTTGTGAAACAAAGTTTAAGTGCAAGTTAGAAATACTTGTATTTTTGGTAAAAATAAGTGGAATTGAGTTGGTGTTCAACAGTGGTCGCGCTATTAGAACTCTGAATTCAAAAATCGATATCTCGAAAACTATCTTTGTTCTCTTCTTAATATCACAAAATCTATCTTTTCGAAAAAAAAATCTTTTAAAAATAAGCGGTTTGCGATCGCGATTTTACTTTACTTCATAGGGAAAGACATACCGGCAACGCCGCAACAGCACATCGTCGCATTTCTCTCACTTCGACTTAATAAGATCCCTATGCGATTTACTTCCACACATGATACCGACTCAAAAGTAACAGTTGCCAGCACGGTATGTATATACAATAAGTACAATAAAGTTTTAATTTGTTGTATAAAGTGTTTTTAGCGTTTTTTGGTTAATTAAGAATATTTAGTTTAAATTTTAAGTTAGGGTTTATAAATATAAAAATATTCCAGTAATTCGAATACCTCACTAATTCGGCGGTAACTGGGATATGTGTGTAGATTATCCAAGTTCTACAGTATACCGGGTGTTTCTCAAAAGTAGCTCAACCCTAACTTTTTTATTTTTTGAGGTAAAAAAGAGATTTGGTATGTTAGTATATGAAATAAGTTAGGATTGTTTGACGTTTTCAGTTTTTTTTGGTCACTTCCTCTTTCACCGGGAATGACTACAACTTTTGATTTTTAAATGGCACCCTCTGTATTTTTTACTTCGATAGCATATGACACTCTGAACAGAATGACATATCACATCAACTTTTAACATTTTAGCCTAAAGTCGTATTTTAAATTTCAATCTAGAGTGCCATGGCTTTGTTAAAAACGGTAATTTTTATTCAAGGAGCTTTGGAAAAATATATTTGATCCTTTAATATTTTTCGGGTTTTGTTCTAGCCGATTAAAGGATGCCCAAATCGTAAACTATTAATCGTATCTCAATTTTTTCAAATGGAACAAAGTTGGGTTATTAGCATATTTGAAAAAGCATTTTTTACAAATAATTTGGTACAAGACACGTATTTTGAGCCAAATTGTCGTTATGAATCGCATGTTAAAATTTCAAATAAATCATATGCAAAAATGTCAAAAGTTGACAAAACATGATGTACTATTCAGAGTGTAATTTTCTATCGAATAGAGTAAAAAAATACCGAGAGTGTCATTTAAAAATCAAAAGTTGTAGTCATTTCCGGTGAAACAGGAAGTTATCGAAATCAGTTGAATACGTCAATCAATCCTGACTTATGTCATATCTTTTTTTTTATATGAAAAAATAAAAAAAGTTATAGGGATAAGCCACTTTTGAGAAACACCCGTTATACAAAGAGCACCGATTCCACTAAAAACCATAACATCGCATAAAACTAGTTAAGAAACTGTCCAAAAACAATATATTATAAACAAAAAAGCGCATGAAGTATTTATTATAAATTAAGCTGCTATCTACATTCTGTATGTTTAAAATTTTCATTAAACAAGTACAGAAAATCTGGACTCTCAGGAGACACTAAGAACGTTTTAAGAAAGAAGATATCGGACTAATCGTCACTTAATGAGGTTAGATTTCGATAGGTCCTTCCTCCAACGCATTCCAATTTCCTCAATCGCGGCGATTTCCTCGGAAAATGTTCCCCCAACCTGCCATGCGCTGGATATTTCATTTTCCACAAGCGACACGCACTCGACGCTTCTTTTAACCAGTTTGATGCGGACCAGCAATCTGTCAAGGCAAATTTCATTTTTCCACATTTTCGCGAGGGAAAGTACGTGGCAATCTCCACGAGAATAAATAAATGTGAAGCGACGCGATCGGATTTTACGGTTTTTTCTTTTGTTATGTTATCGGTTTTTCGAGATTGATGATGCTTTTCCAGCCGGTCGTCATGTGATTTAGAGAGCGAAACTTTTTGGACATACACTTTGTTAAAAACGAAGTATTACGAGGTGTTCGAGATCAAACCATGCTCCGAGTGGAGAAATGATGAAGGAAAGAAATTTATCGTTGTCCAAACTGGGTGAGAAAATAATTTTGATATTTGAAAAAAAAATAAAAAAAAGATTTCCTCATATTAGATAAAATATAAATTGATAATTTATAACTCAAAAATATTTTACCTGTTCTGACTGTGTTTTATAATTATTTTAGTTTTGGGCCTGATGATGGGATATAATTAACCCCGAAAGATATTGTCTCATTACTTAATAAAAATTATTTTTTTTATTATATTATTATTATTTTGCGTATTATCTCGAAACAACGTTTTTTGTATAAGACGGGTTTTGCAACTTGACGACTCATAAATATACACTGAGATGCAAAAAAAACGCAACGAAGAAATTTATGGTCAATTTTAAAGTGTTATATTTCTGATATATTTAGTCCTATTTTCATGAATCTTTTAGTAAGTTGTACATAATTATATCAACTTTAATTCGTTTAAACTTAAAACTAAGTTTTTATAAACTTTAAACTTTAGTATTTGGCATATTATGCAGGGTTAATCGAGGGTTTTTTTTAACCTAACTTTAAAACGCCCTATGTAATAATTTCGTATGTGAATTTTCATAAAATATAACTTTACTGTCAGAACTCTCCTAAGCAGGAGAGTTAGGACTCCTAAGCATTTTGTTTTTTGATTCATGTCAATACATGCTTTGGTTAATTTTTAAGAGCAAAATGAACTGATTACGATCAAATTGCAATTTTTGAAATTATCATTACTTTTTGATGTGATTTTTTAATATGACGAAATGGTTTTCTTGTCTATTGTCATAACGTCATATTGCACTGCATCGGATACGGTATACTAAATTAAAAATAAACGTTAAATACTAAAGATACTGTCTTGGTCTTAATAGACATTAATAACGATAATAGAACTAACGATATTAAAGAAAACATCTGTAATAATGAAGTATACACACAAAAAAAAAAAATTAAAAAATAACCTAATACATTTTATTGTACGTCCGTTCATAATGTCATTGAGGCTGCATATATGATATTGCGATATGTTTTCTCGCGAACCTACCATAAAATTTACTTTAGAAGTAGAGAGAGGTAATCGTTTGCCATTTCTTGATGTTTTAGTGTCAAAATTTCAAAATAAACTAATTTTAGATGTTTACAAAAAAACCCATAAACACAGATAGATACTTAAATTTCACATCTAATCACAGTATAAGTGCAAAAAAAGTGTTATAAAAAGTTTATATGATAGGGCAAAAATAATATGTACAGACGACATTTCACTAAACAGAGATTACAACCACATAAAAAATACACTAATAAAAAACGACTATCCACTATATTTTATTGACAAAACATTAAACGAAATACAAACCCCAAATCATAGACACAATGATAACACAATATATACAACATGCAATTCTATACATACGAGGCGCTTCGGAAAAAATTAGAAGGATAGAAAAACAATATAACATACGAACATCTTTCAAAACACACAATACACTTAGATCCATTTTATCACATACGAAATCAATGAATACAGAACAACAAACAAAATATGTAATATACCAAATACCCTATGAATGCGATAAGTTTTACATTGGTAAAACATCTAGACCCTCAAATGTTAGAATTAAAGAACATAAAGATTATTTAAGAAAGGAAGATTTTCACAAATCTAAGATTTGTCAGCATTCATGGGACACAGGGCACAGAATAAATTTTAATAACGCCAAAATTATAATGAAAGAAGCGATAGCCTCTAAAAGAAAAATAAAAGAGGCTTTTTTAATTCAATCTACTAAAAATAAATGTATTGCTCATGCATATGTAGATGTTAGTAATGTATGGCAATCGCTTCTTTGATTTCAAAGAACATAACATATATAAACAAAACATACGTAACATTTAAAAATAATTATACAGAAAGTTTGGGTTTTTTGGTTTTACCTTATTAAATAATTGTTATCAGGTAGTAATTGTTAATTTGAAGTTTAACTTGATATAATGTCATTTTAACAGAACGTCAACGGTTTCTTGTAGACGTATCTGTTTTAAAAAAAGTAAAGTGTTATCGCATAATTGAATTTAAATATGTTAAATAGTTTTTTTTCTTTATTCTTTGTATTTTTTTGCTTCCGACGACGGAAAGAGATAAACTTTCCGAAACGTTAAGCATTTTTTTCTTTGTTAGGTTTATTACAGTAAACATAACTTCTGACAAGCAGTGTCCGTTTAGGTTTAACGCAGAAAAATAACTATTTTATTTTCTAGATTTTTCTTGCAGTGTAGTGGCGAAATACCCATATAGAATTTTTTTGGAGATATGTTTTCTCATTCTTCTTTAAGGACCAAGCGAAGTTCATTTAATGAAGCTGGTAGCGCTTTGCGACCTCTAACCCTCCTGCCAAGCATTTCTCAAACGTCGAACATGATGAAGAGTTCTCTCCAAAGCCGCCTTGTCATATTGAAAAACAACAAAAAGAAACGATAATTGAAAAAATTGCAAATTGTTGATGGCGAGTTCATTTCGCTCTTAAAAAATAACCAAGGCATGTATTGACATGATCCAAAAAAAACTAAATGCTTAGGAGACATGATTCTGATGGTAAAATTATATTTTAGGAAAATTTACGCACGAAATTATTGCACTGGGTGTTTTAAAGTTAGTGTAAACAAACAACCTCTCGATTAACCTTGTATAATATGTCAAATACTAAAGTTTATAAAAAAACTGAGTTTACGAATTAAAGTTGATGTAATTATATATAGTTTGCTAAAAAATTCATGGAAATAGGGCTAAAAATAACAAAAATACAACACTTTATATTTAACCAAAAATTTCTCCGTTGCGTTTTTTTGCATCTGAGTGTATATACGATTTTAATGACATATGTATACCGTGTGTTGAGGGGAGAATCTATAAATTCCAAAAACCCAGAGGACGGTTTTTGAGTGTGATGCTCCACAGGAAGAACTCTTTCAGCTAAAGATTCTGTGGTCTTTTCCTACTGTATATAGTTGGGTGTCAATGCTTTTCTTTTTTTCAACATAAAGAAGAAAATTGAAGTCATTGTTGTTTTCTTCCTGTTCATTATTTCCTATTCACACTTCCATGTGCTCAATCCCGTGCCTTTAGTTTCAAACCTCTGATTATTCTCTAAATTGTTGACTTATTCAGTATAGGGCTGTCCGGTGAACACATTGAAAATGTCTAACCAAAGCAATCAAAACACGCTGTAAGCTAAAATCCACCAATTCCAATTGCCGAGTACTTTTCAAATCTTGCTATATTTTACAATATTTTACCAATAAATGAAAATGGTACACTTCCGCAAGAAGTTTTCTGCATATCTACGTTTAGAAAAATTTTAGCTTTCTGTGAGCCGGATAATAATTTCCCTGCACATCTTCAAAGGAAACAAAAAAATGGTAAAAAGCATACGAAAAAACTACCGATTATTTAATAAAAAAATATTTCATAATTCATTAGTATTTGATTCCCATTTTATAAATTTAGCTCAATTGGAATATATAAAAATCGATTGAATATGAGTACAAACAAAATTAATCATTCGTTTTAAAAACAAAATATCATATTCAAACTTATAAATTATTACCAGCGCTAACATTTAACTAAAATCAATATTAAATCGACAGGGCTAACCTATTAATTGTTTGGTTTACCAGCACCACAACAAAAAGGGTAAAATATACGGAAAATTTGTGTAAATTTATTGAATATCGTAAATCAGAAACGCGTATGTAAACATAAAAATAATATACCGTTACTGTAAATAAAATCAGCCCCAAGTCTATGTTGGAATAAAGAATTTCCGAGGCAAAATAACATGATTTTACATAACAAGGAAATTAAAATATAACTCACTTGCGATATTTTTTCTATTTTATTTTGTTTTGATAGAATCCATACTAATATATAAAAGATCCTGTAATTGCATTATTGTTAATAATAACGAGTTGTATATGGCTAATGATCCTGGTGATCGATGCCTAGGAAAAAAAAGAAAAAAAAATATATAAAATCCTTAAGTGACTGACATACCGATTAATCACGATCCTACTCAAACCACTCAACGTAAGAAACTCAATTTTGGCATACAGGTTGATTCTAGGGTGTAGAGGTTCGATAAGAAGGGATTTTTCGAAATTCCAGTTCTAAGAGGGTGAAACCACCCCTCAAATATTACAATATTTTTTATTTAAAAAACGGTCAAGTTTCCGAAAAAACGTTTAAACATGTATATTTTATTTTGTTTTTTACATATTTTAAGATTTTTTAAAAATGTATACAGGGTGTTTCGAAAAATCTGGTTATTGATTAATCACGATCCTGCAAGCGCTTGACGTAAAAAGACGATTTTGGAAAACAGATTGACTTTAGAGTGAAGAGGTTCGATAAAAAGGGATTTTTCGAAACTCGAATTCTAAGGGGGTGAAACTATCCCTCAAATATTAAAATATTTTTTATTTAAAAACCGGTGAGTTTTTCGGAAAAACTCTTAAACACGTATATTTTATTTTGTTGTTTTACATATTTTAAGATTTTTTATAAATTTATACAGGGTGTTTCATAAAATATGACCATTGATCAATTAATCACGATTCTGGTTAAACTGCTTGACGTTTAAAGCTGATTTTTGTTAAACGAATTGAGTGTGGGGCGTAGAGGTTCGATAAGGAGGGGTTTCTCGAATCTCAAATCCCAAAACGCCCTTCAAATATTACAATATTTGTTATTTAAAAAACGGTTAGTCTTTCGGGAAAACGCTTGGACAAGCATAATTTATTTGGTTTTTTTACATATTTTGAAACTTTTTAAAAAATCATACAGGGTGTTCCAAAAAGTTGGGTAATTTCTTAACCACGATTCTGCTTAAATTGCTTGACGTAAAAAGCTTATTTTTGGCAAACGGATTTTTCGAAAGTCAAATGCCAACGAGATGAAACTACTCATCAAATATTACCAAGTTATATAATAATATCGCCATATTGTTTTTTCTCATGCTGACATAAATGTGA